CTGTTACCCAGTCTTACTAAATTAATAGTATAGGGAAAAGTAACACAAGGCAAGACTTCCAAAACACAGCTGTTTTGAGGCTCAAACAATAGACAAATGCTCAGATGAGGCTGCATTTGGGAGAAAGTAGTTCCAAGGGAAAAGATTCCTGTTTTGCTTGAAAGCACAAGACAACACTACAGATGGAGCCGCAAGGGAATCAGCTAGGCAACATCACTGCAGTTTGCACTCACCTCCATGAAGCTGCAAACACAAGGGCTAGCAGGGCCTAGGTGGTTGCCATCACTTCTGTTCTGTCAGACTGACACTATTCTGTCAGCTCCGTGGAAACATGAGAAGGCAGCAGCACAAGGGGTTTTTCACTACACAACTCACTGATCTACTATGTACCTATTTCTATAAGCAGTTTGGCCAGCAAGCCCACAAAGACTCCAGGACCACTCTTTTCCAGCTGGTTCAAGAAAAGGGCAATAAATGTATTCTTCCATTAATATTTCCCTAATCTTGTGCGACTCTGCTAGCTAAACAAGGGCATGGTGCAAGTTCTAGCACCCTGCTGCATGATCCTCATATTAAGATCCTTCCTACTCATCTTGCCCTACAGGTCATTTGGGGGAATTAATACCACCTGATTATAAGATGGTCGATCAATTCAGCCTCGCTGTTACCAGGTTCAGCTTGACTTCAGGCTAATCCTCCTCCATGAAAAATATCTCAAATGAGCCATTTTTAGCTTCCTTCTGAACTCGCTCACTTGGCACGATTTCTCCTGGGAACAAGGCAGTGCCATATCCTGAAACAGCAACCAACCTGCTTTTCTTAAACTGTAAGTGAACTAGAGTTACAGCACGAACAACTAATTCCTGATTGACAAAAGGTGACTAACAAACCAAGGTCATAAAGCTGCAGTAGATGCATCCCAACACTAAGTTCAACCCTACCTCAGGGCATGACACAACATCACATCTTCACTGCATTACAGCAGGCAAAAGTCCAGCTCTTCCAATGCTTAATGCTGCATAACTACATTCTTGGTGTCTTGCCATGATATTCCACTCAACTTATAAACCTACATGTGTGTACATGTGTGCGAGAGAGACTGGGACATCACAGCATTTAAGCAGGGTCTCTCTTGCTTTTACAAGTTCAAAGATTTTCAAAGACTGACCCTTAGAAGAACCATCACCTTGGATCCAGGCAGGAACATAATCTTTCAACATTCATTGCCTGTGGCCCAAACTTAGTTATGTTGCTTTAAAAAGCAAAACAAGACTACAGAAGTGTTACAACTTTCTTGAAAACACAACAGAATAGTTGCTCTGACAGAAAATGCATGAAAAATTGCAATGAATAGCTAGGAAATACTGTAGTTATTAGTAGCCAAGGTTGACTTCATATAGGAGAACTTTTTAAAAGAAAGGGAGGACTTAAATGAAATCAAACAGGCAAGATGACAGAAACTAAAAGAAACAGAACAAGAAAAATACTAGCCTAAGAGCTAAAAAGATTTCAGTTAACGCCCCAAACAGCAGCACTGGAGTATAATTCCACCCTAATTTTCAGACAGAAGACTGCAAAGTTTATAAATATCAAAAGCCTAGATCTGTTAAAAATTGCATTGCAGAGCCCCCTGATCTCTGGATGTGCATGAGACATTATTCTTGTATTTAACGGTTAACCATTTGCATTTCCTCCTATCACTACTCCACCGAGCACCTATGTACTCAAGCAGAGTTGCCTCCGCTTACGTAAAGCTTCTGCTCACTACTGAAGCCATGGTTCCACTACCTGCACTACAGCTGTACTAGCTGTGATGGGGATGATTGCTTTGCATTATCCTGCCATTCACCAACATCACTACCATATCAGCCACATGTAAAGCAACCAAAGTAGGATCTTCAGAGCTGGAAAAACAAAAACAAAATACCCTTCACCACTGCTCTAGTACAAAGGTAAGAGTCTTCTGCAGGTAGGAAAGACTCCCCATATTACACTAAGAAATTACATTTTGATCATAATCATTTTTAGTTTCAAAGCAACGAAGGTGACAAATATTTACCTTACACAAAAAAGTTAAAGGATTTTTTTGTTGTTATTCTAAATACACTTAACTAAAGACATTAATAACGAACTGTCAAGTGGGCTGGAACTGCACATCCATCCGTTTCCGTTAAGTCAAGTTCAGAAACTTTTAAACAACCTGAAGGTCAGAATATATGGCACCTTCCCTTGACAAGTATTAAAATATCACAGGGAATATAAATTCACCCCTCCACTTTCATAAGCTTCCAGCGTGCTTTCCTTACACTACAATGCAGACTGTATCCTCATCTGTCAGAAGGAAACTTATCTTCTTTTCACCCAGCAAAGAAAATGTTTCTGTTGAATAACTCAAAGTGACAAAAGAGCAATTCTTGCTTTATGCTTCTATTTGAATTCCACATTTAGGTCTCCTGTAGCATAGTTATTCCTCCACTAGAACAAACAAGCCAAAACCTGAAATGTTATACTGACACATACACACACACAAAAAAGCTTTGTCATCAGCTAAGTCACACGTTAACAGGGAAGTATTGCCAAGATACACATATCAGAAGAACCAAAGAAACAAAACCAACTGCAGATGAACCCCATGGCATTTAAATTTTATTCAGCTGCATTCCTTTACAGTACTTTCAATACCAAACACAAGTAATGCAGTCAGGACACTGTTCATCTTCAGCAGAGCAGGAAAGCTTGCCCAAGGTCTGCAGTGAAAGCAGCCTTCACTGAAGGTGGCATGAGTGCGGCAGCCAAGACACTAAATGACATTCTCTGGGCTAAAGATCATTTCTGCCACCAGATGCACTGAAGAACAGTTTTAGTTTTACCCTCACACATAAAGGAGTCCGAGCAAAAATCATTGCTAAGAAGTCTTGCAATTGCAGCAATGAAACAAGTCAGAAGAATCCAAGCTATCGCGTCATCTTATTCCTCCCTTACCCCACAACAGTAGCTTTCATACTAGGTAAAGCCTGAGCATTTGAACTGGGAATTACCTGATTACTATCCTTTTTTTTTTTTTTTTCAACTTCCAAATGATTTCTGCCTCAGAAGCACCCACCCACTCCATGCTGTAAGGATCTCTAACGCCATTAGAGCCTCAGTCACCACGCAAACTCATCAAGCTACCGCGCTACAGAAATGCCTTTTTTTCTTGTTTTAAGCTATAACCAATCTAGAAGTGAAAAAATTCTTGAAGATTTTGTAAAAAGGTAAGGAAAGCTCCCTTCAAATTTAACTAAGTACAAATTCTGTCCAGTAAATGAGATGCGACTTAGATTTTGCTAAGCAACAGCAGTTCTCTCCACCTTCACGCTGTAGTCTTTGAATGAGTATCAGTAATTGCTCCACAGGAGAAAATAAAGCACTGAAAAGAAAAATAAAGCAAACAGCCTAAACATGCTTTTAGAAGTTTCAACAGTAGTAAGTTTGGGGACAACCAAATTTGACTTCCAGATCCCTAATAATTGTCAATAACTGCATTTCATCCGCTGATGCACTAAGAAATTAAGAAAAGAAATGGCCTCTATGGCATTACTGAGATTCATGAACAGCCATGCAGTCAGAGTTAATGCTCATCTGGAGTCACACAAGCTGAATAGTGACTTGATTCTTAAGGATATTTTCCCAAAATACAGTTTGCCTCACGACGTGGAAATGAATAATAAAATCGTATCACAGAACGGCCTGAGTTGACCAACAAATGAATGTGTGAAATGAATGTGTGATGCAATTACCAAAAGTCACCAAATCCATCTTAATCCAAGAAGCATGCGTTTGATTCACACACATAAACCTAAACTACAACTATACACAATTAATTTGCTAACTGCTTTTCCAGAAAAAGAAAAGGAAGAAACCCAAGTGTTTTTATTAACTTGACATACGATGGAGCTGCACATGACAATTTAGAGTTCAAAAGAAAAAGGAAAAAGCTTTCCACATCCATTAAGGCAAACGAAATACTGACATGTTTGTCTGATGGCAGAGAGCCCAGTTCACTTTTGGTCTCACCACAGAAACCCAGCCACACAGACAGATAGTGGTACAAGCGTCTCATTCAGGCATTGCTAACAATTTCTTAAGCACGCGCCGAGCATTTGTGTTAACATTCTGAATATAATTGTGTTTAACTTCCACATGAGCATTAAGACTGTTAACACTGCACTAGGCGTTTCTACTGCCATAAAATTGTAGGTCAAAGAGCAACGCACATGCGGCCATTCAGGATAAACCTACCAGACAAGCACTGCTGATAGCACTGCTTTGTTGAAATTTTGGCAGCAGCTAAAACAAGCGAAGAGCTTCTCATGACAGTAAAGACTACATGCATATATTTTGGGAAGTCAGCCGGCAATGAAATCGTGCCTTTGTCGGCAAAACCAGGAACACCACGACAACGAAAAAGAAGCTTCCTTGAACTGTGACAGCTCCTTGCTGATACGAGGCGGAACAAGGAGCCGTGTCACTCAGAACAGCCACGTTGCTTTAGGTCACCTGGGCCAGGCTCCGTTCCTGAGACTGAAATCACATTTTGAAGTTTCAGTCCCAAGAAGCGGACATGTCATTCATTTCACAGCACAACACCTGCAGGGGACATTAAAAGCAGCCCATACGCTCTCAAGAAGATTGGAAATGCGGGAAGCGCACAGGCCTGGCGTACAGACGACACGAGAGGAGCGACGCGGGCTGCAGGTGGGGACGCGACACCTGCGGGTCCCGGAGCCGCAGCACCGCAGGGAGCCGGCGAGCCCCGCGGACGGCAGCGTGGCTGTGCAGGAGGCCCGGCTGCAGCGCCCGCGCCGCCCGCCCCGAGGACCGAGGTGGTGCCACGTTAGGCCGCGGGGCTCCGCGCCCAGTCCCGGCCCCCGCCGCCGGCCCGCCCCGCCACCGCCGGGTGCTTCCCCGGGGCTCGCCCGCCGCCACCCCTTTGTTCTGCGGCCCTCTCCCGGCCCTACCTCCAGGATGTCCTCCAGCACGTAGGCCTCCATCGCGCGACCCGCCGCCTCCGTCCGCCCTCAGAGCCCGGCCATGCCTCGCCGCCCGCCGCCGCCACCCCCCGCGCTGACGGACACGGAGGGGCCGCCGGCCGCCCGGCAGCAGCACGCTCGCTTTCCCCCTCCCCCCCCGCTGTCAGCGCGGAACAGGAAATGGACCGTTCCACCCGGCGCGGGGCGGGCGCCTACCACCCGAGCGCGGGGGGGAGAGGGCGGCACGGGGCTCCCCCGCTCACCCCGGCTCCTCAACGGGCGCACGAGCGCGCCAGGAGGGCTCGGAGGAGAAATCCGCGCCGAAACGGCTGCTGTCCTCGGGCTTTCTGAGGAATCTCGACGTCCTGGGACGGAGCAGGGTGGCTCGCGTTCCTCCCATCGGCTCTGCAACCCTCGGGACAAGCACAATGGGCCCATAAAAGTCGTAAAATACACTTATCTGACCTTCCCAGCGCTCCCAAGGCCTCGACCGACAGGCCCAGCCCAAGCGATGGGCGGCAGCAGCTCTGCTCCCTCTGCACCGAGCATGGTTACGCGTTACGATCGACCTCCTCGCTCAGAGGGCGGTGAGGCGCCGGCACGGCTGCCCGAGCTGTGGTGCCTCATCCCTGGAGGGCCCGAGGCCAGGCTGGATGGGGCCCTGGACAGCCGTGCTGGTGGGGACAGCCAGCCCACGGCACGGGGTTGGGGTGGGTGGGCTCTGAGGTCCCCTCCAACCCAAGCCACTCTACGGCTCTATGATTCTACCCGGTACCTTACTGAACGCTTGCTCGCACTTGGCCTATTCAGCCAAAATTCCATTCACAAGTACTATGCTAGAAGAGGTAAGCCACAAGTCCAGTTCATTAGTCTTCAGCCTGCTGTTCAGCCAGCTGCCAACACAAAAAATGTAATCACATTAAATGACAACCACCCTTAGGAATCTCACTCTGAGGAAAACAAGTTTACCAACATTTTCTGTAAACTCCAGCACAATTAATTTTGCAGCCAATACCATCCTTCATGCCAACCTCCTAAACATGGCTGGGCACAAGCACGTGTAACAGCAAAAGCTCAGCTTAGATAGCCAAGAAGATTAATGTAAGTGGGCTGCCTTCAGAGATATGGATCATACAGACATGCACCTGTCCCACTCTCCTTTCCACAGGAAACTCCTGTCCACACCGAGAATCATGGGACGAAATTCCACGGCTCCTCTCAAGTAGTGCTCTTCAGTCAGCAGTCCTGAGAGCCTCTGCAGCCCCTGCAACCAGTCCTGAGTACAGGCATCCCATCAGTTGCGCATAACATTAGATGGGTCACCAAGCTAGCCCCTCCAACTTGAAGTATTCCTTTGCAAAACTAAAACAAGAACCCCACAGACCTCCCACATAACAACAGTCATGTCTCAAAAGAACAGTTAGTCATTTTCCAAGCACTGGAAAGAGCGAACAGACACCTTATATCACACGCAGAAAAAAAACACAGAACAGCATAGTGCTAAAATTAAGATATTATGCGTATCACAACAGTGAAAACATTTTCAAATGGAAAGAGAGCAGCAGAGAATAAAAAAAGGTGCCCGTTCTATGCAAAAGATGGAAAAGCAGTACTTTCCCCACTTTTTATAGAATGAGTGCAAGATTTTCCAAGAGAAACAAGTTCACCTCAAGAGATGAGCCATTTCCAGCCCACTTGGAGACAACAGTCACCTGCAACAACAGAACTTAATTTACAAAACCGTAAGCAGAAGAAGCCTCCCAAGTTGTTAGGGAGAAGAAACAAAACAGCACCAGCACTACAGGGAACAACAAAGACAGCAAACTCACCAGCAGACATTCCACTGAAAGCAAGTTATGTTCATCATTTATTTGCTTTCACACTCTGAATGCCAATACTGGAAAGTACTTCATCTCCCACACCCTCTCCTCTCTTCAGGCCAAGCACTGTACCCATCACCTGCAAGAAGCCTGCATTTATTAAATGACAACCTCCACATCACATGGTACATCAAACTTGTTTACAATGTGGAATACCAAATTGCAGAAAACTATATATTCCCAATACTATGTAATACTATGTACTGTATGGATATATGTATGCACACACATAAAACTGCATATTCTCAATACTTGAAACATTGCAGCATGAAGAGATCCCCAGTAAAACCAAGGCTTTGATACAGCCTTCCATTCTGTTCTTGCAGGAAAGGAAGATATGAGAGGTGGAGGTGAGGAAGTTATTTACATATCCGAATTATTTTTTTCCTCTGTTGAAAAAATCAAAAGTCACATAATTCACAGGTCAGGAAACAGATCTTCAAGTTACGCAAAGGTGAACACAGATCCATTTCTTCTTCACTTTCAAATCCAGCTCTATCAATCACTCCAGCCTGGTGTTTTCAGGAAAGGAGAGCGTAAAACATCTGAGCTTCTGTTAAAAATGTAACATCTTTACTTTCTTCTGCTAGAAAGGGAATGATCAAGTCAGTACCCTCGCCTATTCCCATCTATTGCTAAAAAGAAATATTTCTTCCCCAGAAGTGGTACCTTAGAGCAGCTGTCCAAGTCGCACACATTTATCATGCTGTCTTATTGCAGTTCCTCCCATTCTGTAAGTCTATACCAGAGAAAAGTCCTTATGTTCCCCTACACAGACGGTGGAAGAGTAAACACTGGAAGCACAGCTTGAGGAGACAAGTTTATCATAGCATTGCTTAAAAAAAAAAAAAAAAAAAATTGGGAAAGAAATCCTATTTCAAGCTGTGCTCAAGTGCAGAAGATCGAAATGAATCTTGAGATAGCAGTACACAGTGAAAGCCAAAGGCTGGGACAAGTACAAAACAATGTTGGCTTACTCTATATGCTATGTTCCCCCTACAGCACTGGTAACTAAAACTAAGGGTAAAGCACATAATTTGACCTAGAGGAGAGTAGAAGCATTTGAAGAAACACCAAGTTCACATGCAGTGAAGTACAGAGTGAAACTACAAATACTAAAGAGCTGATGTACAACCTTCAAGAAGAAAAATTTGTCTCCCGCCTATCATGCATGCCACCACTAATTCTTAACTGGCACCAGTCAAATTATGTCACACTGAAACACAAGCATTTGAACAATTGATCCGAGACAGATTCCGGCACACAGAAATGTAAGCATTTAAACAATCGATCAGACAATTCCCACTCTTATATCACAAAAGCACATTGTTATCTCTTTACAGCTGATCAAGCGGTACTGGTCACCAACTGTCCCAAAGCATATAAACACCATTTTTGTGCATTTTCAGACTCACAGCTCAAAGTTGGTTGTGTAAACTGCATCTCACACAGACGCTTACATCTTATTCATTAGAAACACAAGTTGCATTCATTATTGGGAACAAACAAACAAAAAAATCACGTCTTTCCCCCTCTGCTCAAAATTAAGTAGCCTACCTTAATTGGAAAACCTCCTAACGAATAAACTAGTTCGAGACACTACAATTATCCACCACCTAATGTACAATCTCCTCCTCTTGCAAACACCATCTTCCAGTTTTATCCATTTCTTACTTTTGGTTGAGTGATGCTATTCCTATCCTGTTCCCTTTGCTGGATTGTGCCAAGCTGTTCTAATAGGAGAAATACTTTTTCAAAACCCTCTACAAGTAAATGAGAAAGAAACCTTTCCCAAACAGACCCTCATAAGTGTATACACCACACAAGTTCACTACCTGATGAACTTGCATTAATATTTATCCACCTTCAGCAAATCAATCCCCACCCGTGCACATACCTTTCATTACTCCTTCACATTATTAAGTTAGATAACCACAAAGACACTAACCATGTTCTTCACAGCTGCTACTTCTGAGTGTGCCACAGAAACATGACTTACACTTTACAGTAGTTTGCATTGGTAATCCCTTGGTGCATTTTTAAGGCCTCTCACTCCTGCACAAAAAATTAAACCCACTTTATACATTTGCCTCTCTAGATGGATTCACCAAACTCCTACTCTTCATCCTCAGGGCTTAGCAATTATATGAAGTTACGTCAGTTCAAACCCAAACTTCAGGAACCTTCTGAAGTGAGGCCTCTCACCTGCTTTTACTCTTTTTTCATAGTATATTGTTGCCTTTCTCCCCTTCACCAACATCCCTCAGGCGAGTGCTTTAGCAATTCCAATGTAACATCAACCTTCCTTTTTTATTGGGGAGGAAGGAGGACTTCACTTGATATAATCTACATTTTTGTTTTCTATTTATTCCCCATTGTTATAATTCAGTGTTTCTCTCTAGGAATTTCAGTCCCTCTAGACAAAAACACTCTGGAATGTTCTGGCAAAACATTCATTTAGTTTTACTATCACAAGATGATCTTTACTGCTCATCCTCATCTGCCATAACTCAGCCCTGCTAATTCTCACAGCAGAACCACTTATTTTGGCTTCTGGAACAACCATACAACCACCTTTTTTGACTATCCAATATTCTTTAGGGCTTAAACACTAAGCTTTCTCCCCAGACAGACCTTTATTTTCTGTGCAGCGTATTCTTTACTTCATCTAGGATGACAAGACATCCAAGGCCTTAATTCCAAACCTCACGTTTTCTGCACATTTAGCTTTACTCTTTTTGGTAAGCATATAGAGCTAGAAAAGATCAACTCCTATTCTTTAAAGGTCTTAACGTGGTACTCCTGAGACCTAACTTTCCCACACCTCCACAGAAACTAGTATCTTTGAAAAATGCCTGTACTCAACTACCTTTTGGAGTAAAGATAAACATCCCCTTCTTACGTCAAATTAAAAGACTGCATACAAGAAAAAATCTTTACAAGTTTGATCAATGACAATAAATTAAGATGTTTATGACGTGCCTGATGGAGTAAAGCTGCTCCACTTCCTTCAGGCACTCCTTCTCAGATCTCATCTCCTTTAGAAGCAGCAGCAAGCTACCAAAATATACTTGGCAGCTAGCATAAACTATAGGATCTGATGTGATCAGGGACCATGATGACCCCATATCCAGAGAACCTTTTTGAAATAGGTATTACTGTCTCCTCTAAGGAACTGTTGAGGGATTTCAGTATTCATATTGCAGTACAATTACATATAAGATATAAGATCTCATTCAAGAGTCAGTGGCAATCACTGCCACCATCGAAAAAAGTTAGTTTTCCTTGCACTCCTGGCATTGTCTTCGCTATCAGGATTGACCAACAGCACATACAAGCTCCAAGCAAAAGCTCACAGCACTTTTTCCAGGAACTTTAAGACAAGGGATGCCAGCAGCTAGCTCCGCTTAAGTAAAATTGCAGTGCTCAAGTCAAGGCACATAAGTTAATACTTTCAAATTCTATCAGCAGCTTCTGAAAGAAAGTAGTCGCGTTAGTACCACGTAAAAAATATTTCTGAAAGCAGCCTTTGTCCCCGCTTAAATCAAATTCATATCTGGATGGAGTTTTACATTCTAGTAAGCAAGTGGCATACTGCACTGCAGACAGTGATGCAAATCCTTCTGACCAGTTGAGAACCTTCTTCCCCAGTAAGTGCTTACATCAGCCCTACTACTTTGGATTTCAATTCTGCAATGCAAATCTAAGCACGGAAGAAGGAGGATAAAAAACCCTCTATTAATACATAGTATTGCCTTGACAAACCAAGTCAGAACTTAAAAAGCAATTGTGTCAAGACATATTATCGCAACTTTATCTTCCTTTATATTTGTCCAAGTGAGCTTTTCCTCTCCTAAGAACTGAGCCTGCAATTTTGCTACAGAAGAAACGCCCAATACAAGTTAAAATTGCATTGACACAAAGCTATGAAAGCAAGAGAAAATTACGTATTTAAAAGTGCATTTTGTAAGTGTTTTCCATCAGTAGTGCAACATTACTCACAGAAAAGTTTGTCTAATGGGAGTCTTTTATAGGAGAACCTCCTCTCAAGTTCTCCCCTTCAAGCAGTCGAAGTTTTTACCAGGTAATAATACTATGTCTTTAGTCCAAGAACTTTCGACTCCCATAAGAAGCCTGCTTTTGGGCTAAACACGACTAAGACAGTGAACGTGTTGAAAGACGACACCAATTTGCAACAGGACAGATTCTTCAAATTATATTTCCTTTCCCATTTGTAATGATACACAGGCAGCAGGGAAGCTATGCACAGTTTCAATGGCATTTGTAGAGCCTCTAAGCAAAGAAAATTTCTCACATAATGGAAAGAAGTACAATCTAACAACATTAATACTAGTGCCTCCTGAATGCTAAGATAAGTACTAACTCCAGATATCTTAACATCAGTACGTGAGAGATCAGAGCATAAGGTTGAAATGATCCTCTTTTAACATACCCCATGTCTGTGCAATCCATTCGCTAAGCATGTAGGAGAATGTCTGCTTTAGAAGCTGGTCCTCTGTCCCACTTGGTTCATACTAGGACAAGCCCCCAAACACAGAGGCTCTCTTATAATTGCTGTGACATGATACATTTTGACCTTGACGAACTATAATGTAGAACTAGGTAATCATAAACAGGACCAAACACAACATGTAGCAGACTAGTTCCTTATTTCCAGTTCTTTAATCATTAAACTCTATGAAAACACATTAGTACTTGGTTGATGTTTTCAATTAGTCTTGTCTCATTCCCCCCAACACCATCACCAAAAAAATGACACACAAATATAAAGCAGTGCTCAGCCACTGGAATTTCCTTAAGAGTTCAAAGCGCCAATACAGACAGTTAGCAAACCTTCACACAAAAGAATCTACTTTCAATGTCAGTTTCCCCCTCCTTTCTAAGCAGGCAAGCCCATGATTTTCTCATGAGTATAATCACCTAAGTAACTCAACACTGATATGCTTCACCGAAAAATTCAAATTCAAGATCTGCTGGATCAGAATCTTCCTGTCTCCATTTGCTCAGCTGTAAACCAAAGAGATTTTCTAACTGTTCTACATTTAAACAAGGTTCAACTTCCTTTATCGTATTCCCACACTCCACTTAACTTAGGAAAATGAGCAGAAACAATAATATTGTACTTAGTTTCTTTCTTTCGGAAAGCTCCCGAAGGGCATTTGCTTGACTGGTATCTTCAAGTTCAGATACTGAACTGAGTATTAGAACTACTCCATTTATCAACATCAAGCCTGAAATTTAACAGACAGCAGACTGGTTAAGAAAAAAAAAAAAGCTGAAGGAGTACAAAAACAGGATAAAAACAATGAGAAACTCCTATGTTGATTATAATGCAGCTGCTCACTTATTTCATCTGAAGCTGCTCAAAAGGTCAAGAAATACTGAGAACCTCACAGCAGAACCTCAGTGCATTTGCCATCAGCACAGTCAAACCGGCTGCCAGGTTAAAATCTTTCTAGCTGAATGTTGCTTGCTCACTGGACTTCAGGACCTCCTGACAACCATTTTTCAAATCTTCAGAATACAAAAAACCATTCAGTTTATCTCAGATTACTGAAAGAAATGCACGACAATGAAGTCACAAACATCTGCCTTTCTCAAAACAAGGTGAACTGACAATTAAGAGCCTGATTTTAGCTGAAGACTAACTCTGAAGGTTTTTAAGAGTACAAAAAATGAAAAATCTTCAGGTTTTAACTCGGCTAGAAACATTCACTGCACTGACAGTGAAGAACCCTTTCAACCCATCAGAAACACGCCCTCTTGCACAGAGATCTCTCTCTCCCCCCGCATTCAAATTGAATCATTCACACAGAGCCTAATGGAAATGTCTTACTAGGACATCACTGAATCAAATGCTTCACAAGTTATTGGAAGTTAAACAGAACATCCACTGCCTGCCCTCGCAAATGTTAAAGAAAACACTTTAAATACTTACTAGACTGTGCTTCCGTTGCACCACACATTTCTCAAGTTATTTCTACTAGCAACATATTCCTATGGCTTGGAAAGTCTGCATACCCATCTCTGGATTACAATGAAAACCACCACTAAGAACACCTGCTAAATGTTTTTGTTTCACGTGTAGGAATAGTTTAAATACAATTCTTTGAGAGTATTACTGCTCATATTTCACACCTAACTCACTCAAGGAAGTGCCTACTGCTCCATATGTGTCTTCAAAGCCAGTAACTGATGAAGTTAGGGAAGGCAAAGCAAGTAAACTGAGGTTTAGGTCATAAGCTCACTTAACTAAGCAATGCTGGGACAGAGCAGCATGCAGCATCCCAGAACACAGAAGGAATTAGCATCTCTATTAACTTGCAGAACACACTTGTCATTCAGCAGAGCTGTTGCAACAACATGCAGCTGGAAAGGATAAATCCAACCCCACAAACACGAGCAAGGCAGGTCCTGAGCTGACAGAACAGCTTGGTTCCAGACTCCAAAGGAAAAGCAACCAGAACTCCTCACAGCTATTTCCCCTTTTCCCTTCATACCCACAATACCGCCTTTTGGACAGACTGCAGGCCAGTGATCTGCTGCAATGAGAGTTGGCAAAACGGAAGCCATTTAAGTGTACGGTTGGTTATAGGTCAGAGAAAAATTCCCCACTCGTGGCAGAGATAAGATATTAAATCAGCTCATCCTATTATGCCGTACTGTGTCATAAAGGTGTTTGGAGAACTCAACTTTAAATAGATACACATACTGAAAAAGACCATCTCAAAGGCACAAGTAGATTTAGAGTGATTTTATACATAAGTTGAGAAGCACAGCCACTTTCCACACGTGCAGGGCTCAGAAAAGCTCTTTGGGATGTTTATGCGCTGAACTTTGCTACTATATTTATCACTGAGGAGATCTTCTATCGAGTTGATGCTTCACAAAATTACCAGCGTGCTGCTATGCTAACTTTCACTTCTGTTGGTGACTGAGATGGACAGGAGACGTATGTTCATCTATCTAACATACTGCTAAGTTAAAAGCAAGCGCTCTTTCTCTTAAAATTAGGTTGGTTATTTGTAGCACAGCTACCGTACTCATCCCAGTCTTGCTTCATGTCCATCTTAACGCTGGTTGGCGTACGAAGCGCCTCCTTCCTGCATTCCGCTGAGCGATACAAAAGCAGCGATGGTTACACTTAAAACATGCAGCAATGTTTTAACACAACACTGCTTCAATCCTCTCTTTTGATCTACCCTTAACACGCTGCTTTAAAGAACTGTAAGGAACACCAGAGAATAAAAATGTCAGTGCTGATTTTATCTCAAGCTTTTAAGTTTCAAAGCTGGAAGGAAAAAAAAAGATTTGATGCCATTTATCTTTCCAGGACTCCACCAGCCACTTTCAAACCAAATCCAAAGGAACCGTGAAGAGGATTGCTTTGCCCTTTAATACCAGAATTCTCACAGATCTGTAGCATTCTCAGCAACCCTGCTCCTCAAGGACAATGCAAGTGTTTCTTTGACAGGCATTTAAATGAATAGTTTAGCCAGAAGAGGCAGTCCTCAGCCCTCCTCCCCATCCAAGCTCCTGGCTCTTCCTTTCGGGCTCCTCGCTGTGTCAGCACAAGCTCCCATGCCCCTGCCTGACAAACTGGATCGAGGACCCATCAGCTGCGAGCGTGCTTTTTCTGCTGCTCAGGTTTATAAATGAGATCGTTTCCCAAGCTGCTGTGAGAAGCAATGGCTGCTTTTGTTTCTTTCTCCTCAACAGCTGGCTCACTGCAGTCTTCCCACAAACCTGACACCCCTGACTTCAGTGGGATGAGTGCCCACGCTGACACCCAGCACTTCAGAAAGAAGCTAAGTCATGCCGTGAGTTCTCATTTTCAACTTCATTAAAGCATTGTTCACCATTCCGTGGAGGAGAACAGTTCACACCTGCAGAACCAGCTAAGGAGGAATATTCTGCTGGCAAAACACTTCAGGACAAGATGAACAAAAGGAAAAAACTGCCTGAAGTTCATATATGGCAAAGCTCAGGCATGGGAAAACATGTGACTCACTGAATACCTTACAGACACCAGAGGTACTGAGGACCTCCAGCTTCTCACTAAATGAATTGTTTTGTTCTATTCTTTCGTATGGGAAAAACTAGGAGGGTAGGAATGACCTTCCTCCTCTTATCTCTGAGTCACTCCCTGCCACAGAGAGGATTCAGATGTCCTCCGCCTGCTGAAGCTGTATTCCACAAAGCAGTCCTTGCAAAGGCTTAGGAGCTTTGGGATTTGGGGGAGGGGGGGAACATGAGCCCAAATCCAAGGCAACCTCTCTGGAACATAAAGTTTTGTTACTGTGTAAAATGCCTTTCATTTGAACCAAAGCAAAATAATCAGGATGTTAACTTAACACATAGACACTTAACTTTTTGACTCTTACAAGTTGAACTCAAGGAGAACGGACGCCAAAACTACAAACATTTCATCATACTAAACACTCCAAATGTCTTTCCAAGCTCTGTGTTTTAGCATCTTAACAGCTGCATACTTGGACACGCTACCCACTCTGATGATTAACACTACAACCAACTCAAGCTAAGATACTGGAATGAAGCAGGAAAAAAAAAAGCCAAGGCTAATTTCAGCTTATTTTCTAGAATATGCCAATCTACTTTTAGGACTTGAGGGTCTAGTTAAAATACTGTAGAGGAGAAGAACCTGTGCATAAATGAGTAATTTATATTTGTCAAAAGTACCTTTGGGTAATGCATACATAATCATCGTGCTTACAAGACTTGACCTAGAAGAAATCAGTGCAAGCACCAACTAAGATATATTTAGGGCATGCTTGGTCTCATGCCTGATTTTCAGTCTGGTATACAGTGGTTGCTTAATATGAAAATAAGGTGCGGGGACAGTTAAACACCTGTACATGGCTCCAGTCTTCAGAAAACTATGAGTATTTGATTACATACAGGGTAGAAAGACGTGGCTGACAAACATTCGGAGTAGCAAGATAAACTCTCCATCTGACTGCTTAGTGAAAACTGAATAGAAATGCTGCCTTATGATGGTAAATCATATACACATTCCCTTCACATATTTCTGTCAATATAACACAAAGACTATACAAGGGTCACAAGAAGTCACACCTGAACACCAACACCTATACATTCATCAGTGAGGCCACGTTAAGCATCCTTACCCAAACCATCTGCTAGCATTACATCTTTCCCTACCCAAACATTCATTTTTCTTTTAAAGCATCAAAGCTTTTTTTTTTAGGATAACAGTATTGCCAAGAAAGAGTTGCAAAAGCTCTACAGATGCAGCACGCCTTCAAGATGTGTCAGCATAGTCACCTGAAGTGCCGTAGCATCCCAGAACCAGAAGCACATCACTTTACAACAAACAAGCTGCCTACCAATGCAGTCATGGGTCCCGCCTCAAGCGCCTTAAAACAAAAAACTAGGCGAACTGTGGACTTTTTTCTACTTCACTTGAAGTTGTGAGGGCTGATTTCCTTAACATTGGAAAAGAGAACCTCCTTACCTACCTAGGATCCGCAGCATTAACTTTCCAATACCAAAATAAAGCTTCCAAATAAACTTCATTTTAAATAGGTACTGACAGTTTTATTTCCAAAACAGAGATGAAGAAAATGAACGTATGTAGTACAGTTGGACTTCAGAGTTGACAGATAAGGAGGAGATCCGCTCACATCTCATCTGCATCTCTTCCACACAAACCATTCTCTAAGAAGAACAGAACTGTTAAAACATTCAGCTCCAGTCTGCAGACAGGAGTTCTGTTTTCCATAGAAGTACTGGAGGGAATAAACAAACTCACCTGGTGCCACCAATATCTAACACCACTTCCTGCAGTGGCCATTTTATACACGTCATTTATTTTTTTAGACTCAGACAGTCACTAACGATTTAGACAGAGGTCCCCTAAGATTTATTTAAATATGCACAACCCCTAACCAGACATCATTTATTAACTCAGCACACCTAGAACCTTTCCCAAGCACCACTAAACCTTGCTTGTGATCTTAGCCTGTAACTCTCATTCCCTTCACAAGCACATGAGATCTACCAGCTTTACTCCTTCGATAAGGGAGCATATTCCAAATACCTTCTGCACAGTGAGGTGAGTAACAGCTGAAGGTTGCTTAGCAAGGAATGGCAACACCAACCAAAACACAATTCCCATTTTTCAGACTGATTTTAGTGGAACCTATACTGTCACACAGTACGGAAGGGATGGTTAAATACTCCTTCCTGGGATTACTTACAGCAGATTGCACTACTCCGACACTCTACTGCAGGATTCAGCCACCGACAGCTCTACCAGCCCTGATACTTCAGAGATTTTTGAGAAAAGTCTTCTACTCCTGGGAATCCCTCATTCTACTCACCTTCAGAGTAACAGTGGTAGAGAGAATACAACCAACAGCAGTCAAGCAAGACATACTGGCTCTTCTGCATCCCTGCAGAAGCCAAAAGTTTCTCATTCCAGGAGTCGTATTAAGATAGTCAGGATAAAAAAGATTAAGAAAATAAACGTTATGCTTGAAATAAACAGCTGAACAGCTTACTCTGACACGTCGATGTGCTATAATTGCATGTCTGTGACAGTCTTGAAGGCACACCAGTAAGCTCAAATTTTCAGATTAGCACTTTGTATCTGAAGCTAAAATAAACAGTTTGGAGAAACTTCCTCTGCATGAAGGGACTGCAGCAAACTGGGGGTGTTTTGCTGCTTTATTTACTTCTTACTAGTTCAATTACTAATTCAATTGCAGCTGAAAAAACAAGAGTGAGCTTATGTTTACAGAAGCTACAAGGCCACAGTAAAAACAAGAATGCTCCATACACAGCTGAGAATTCTAAAAAATATTCTTTGTGTAGGGCAGTGCTTTCAGGCATACCCAACATTACTGAAGGTGGTGTTTAATAAAGTAGATTTGTAAAAGCCATCCAAGAATGCTGTATCAAACTAGACCTATTGCTGCGGGGTGGAAGAGAGAAGGAGATAACCACACTCAACTCCAAAAGCGATCTGCATCTGCTTATCATGAGACTCTTTGATCAAGGGGAAGGCTGAACTGACACCCTTGTAAAATGGGTATGATATTAAAGAAAGAAATGACCAAAGCCAGGCTGGATGTGGCTCTGGGCAGCCTGGTCTAGTGGTCGACGACCCTGCACATAGCAGGGGGGTTGAAACCAGATGATCTTTGAGATCCTTTTCAACCCAGACCATTCTATCATTCTATGAACTTCAGTGTCAGCAGCAGCAAACATCTGTATAAGTTCAAAGGCAAAAAAATCAACCTATATACAAATTTTATATCACACCATTAAACTTTTGTTTAGTAAGTGATGTTCTAATGCATTTTACTATTTACTGAAGGCAAACGTTTAGCAAAACTGGTACACAAGTGAACACTTTGATGATGTCTGTATATGCACCCATTTTACCTGAACCCGTTCAGAGGAACTGCTGAACTGTGTTCTTATTTAAAAAGATAACTAATACAGAAGTTCTCAACAAGTCTGAATATTCAAACTCCTTACCACATGTCAGCCTTCACTCACCTGGTTTGTCCCCTCCCCCATTATTTTTGGACTCATAGCCTTAAAATCTAACAACAGCTCAGAAGACAGACCTTGGACTTGGTCCAAAGCACATGAAACGTGATGCGCATTTTTCTACGTGTGTTTCATATATTTACATATCAGCAACAGATCACATTAAATAGTAAAGAGGAAACTGTACAGAGCCAAGTCAGGATGTAATGTTTGGCTTAAGACTACAGTCTTCTGTGACACTCCTCACATAATTCTGACTCCAGAGACGTTCCTTCATCTCACTCTTAAACACTTAAAAGCATCCAGCCATGACATTTTCCACATGTAACTGCATCTGTGCAAATTTTGCCCAACTGCACAGACCTGTTGCGAGTTTTCACCCAATCAAGGAGTCACTGCAGTCCTATTTAACATTACAGCTCCCTACCCAAGCCTGTGAGGCTACCTCTCTGAAGATAGAATCATTTTGCTTGCTGTACACGTGATCACTCATCGAGTGAGGGCAGAACTCTGCCAGGAAGCATGCAAGTTGACCTCCTCTGCTGCGTCACTTCTCCTGTTACTTTCCTCTCATCTTAAGACTTCTCTTCCTGCACGCTGAAAAGAGTTGACATTCTTTATAAACCAGAAGATAGGGAAAAGGCAATTTGCCACTTACAGACAATACTGGACCGTGCTACATAAAGTTTTTTTTTTTTTTTGGACAAACAGCGCTTTGCTGCAATTTCAGAAAGCAAGCTTAGAGGTTGCCACCATCACTGTAATAGGAGTTCATTAAGCTGGTGGTATGAAATCTCAATTTAACTTTTCCCAGAGCTACATCCAGCCCCTATGCTTCCACACTGAGATCTGAGTTTAGAAACAGACTGAGATGAAAACATCTGATTATAACTTTTTATTCCATCCCATTAGCTCAGCAACAACTGAGCCAAAACAATGTCTTTCCACTCATGGGGTTTTTGTGATTTAGAGTCTGCCAGGTTTCCAATTATACCTCCTTTGACTTGTTGCTACTGTACTCCCCATTTTTAAAACCCATCTCATTAACAGTGAAACCTACAAGTACTTCAGCTCAGAGATTAGAGAAGCCTTAATGTATTACCAATGGGAACAGCAAAAAAAAAAAAAAAAAAAGCCTAAGAAACTGCCCTAAGTTCACACAGTTAACGACAGAATGGTTGGGAGGGAACACCAACAAATGCAGTGCTTCCACAATAGTTTCCATTTACAGCAAAACCATAAACTCTGATTTGGTTTCATTTCATGTGCCTTCCAGACTGCCAGCAGTCAGAAGACAGCAGTCTTGCAGTCTTACTGCTGAAAGCCACGCAAGCTACATGCACCAATTTAAGCCTGAACTGGAATAAACACATAAAGTGAAAAGCCTCCTACAAAAAAAATTCTAAGAACGAAAAAAAAAAAAAAAGCTTTTTAAAGTTAAAATTAAACATCAAGGTGCTTTCAGATTAGGAAAACTCCCTTTTGCTGAAAACACATTTCCTCCCCAGGAGCTGCTGGGAAGTACTTTGAATCTAGATCCTCTGCTCCGTTACCCAGGCCATCTTTGTGTTCACATACCTAAAAACTGTGTTTTCAGCTGTGCATATTCTATGCTACCTCACTCCATCCTGAAGGCAGTGGAGGAAAAAAAAGCCAAAACAACAACAACCAAAAACCTGTTCTGGTTGTTTTTTTTTTTTTTTAAACCTGAATGACCAAGAATTAATATTAATTAAGCAGATGCCATACAGCTCCTCACAGGACCTGGACTTAAATGCTCTGCTTGTTTACTAGCCTTTGCTTAGTATTTAAAGCCAGGCCACTCAGCCTGGGAAAGCCTTCATTTACTTACATACCATGACTGAGATGAAACAATCAGGGAAGCTTCCAGATGCCAAAGCTACTTCCCAGCCATTGGTACCTACAAAATCTGGAAGTTATGTAAAAAAAAAAAAAAAAAAAAGTATCGTTCTGCTGCCTCATGATATTTTAATGATCATTTGCTTTTTCATCTCTGTACACCACCTTTCCCTATATCAAATAAGTATCTCTGGCTACATAAGGCACAGCATGCAAAAAAATGCTCACATTGGCTACGATTACACATACTTCTGCTATTTTCACCTTTCTTGCCATGCCATCCACAACACCTCTGGAAAGCCATCTGTATAAGAAGCCACTTCAGTGAATGGCTACAGATACAAGTCAAACCTATGGTTTTGCCAGTAAGTTTCCTTTTACACAAACTCTGCTGAACGCTGCTGTCCCATAGAGTTGATCTCAATGCTGAGCTATCAGCCAACACATCTCCTGTGGCACCAGATACTCCCTCCCATTCACCACACCCCAAGCAAAATCCAACAGACCCTGTCAAAGAGCAGCCAAACATCTGTAGGATTGCTGGATCTCAGGTGTAATACTTCTGTACAGGATTATGGCTGCCTATCTCCCATTTCAAAAGCTTCGACCAACTTGATGCTCACTTTTCTAAAAACAGATATTGCAAAAAAAAAAAAAAAAAAAAAAAAGCAACCCAAACTGACACTGAACATCATCAGTTGTTAACGGAGCCTGAACTGCATGTAGTGGGAGCCTTCTGCTACCAAGTGGATGAAAAGTTTCTCCTATCAACTTCTAAGGGAAAAAAGTACTTTTTTTCCCCTAGACAAAGCCATCACTAGCATAGCCAGGCCCTTTCTTAGTCCTATCAGACGCTTACTTCCCTTTCTTCTTGCTCATTTTAACTCCTAAGTCAAAGGAAGAAAACGCCATTAAAAAAAAAAAAAAAGAAAAGCCTTAGAAATAAACGTTCAAAGAAAAACTTGAAAAACGGGGGCTGCTTGGAGGATGCTAACAAAAGAAGGATGTTAACAAAAGAACAGCACCACCAAAGCGACCGTTCAGTTGAAACGTTACAGAATCGAAGCTGCTCAGCACAGCGGCTCTGCGTGACCACCGATGCAAATGGCAGAGGGGCTCAGGTCCTCATTCGCCTCCTCCAGCGATACCTACCTGAAACGACCAAGTTCAGCGACAGCGAGTCGTCAGCGCTTCCTCGAGCTCCTTTCAGCGTTACATTTACACGGCGGCCGCCGACGGCTTCGGAGAATTCTCCGGACAGGAGCGAAACGCCCAGGGCTCTCGAGCAGCCTTCGCCCCGGCCGCGAACCCACCCGCACGCCTTCGGGCCGATCCATCCCCGGGCGCCCTCGCCGCCGCCCCCCCGCGCCTCGGTTCCCCCCGGTCCACTCGGACGGCGCGGACACAAAGCGGAGCGCCGCGGGGCTCCCGCTCCCCCCCCCCCGCCCCGCAGACCCCGGGGCCGCCCCCGCGCCTTCCCCCGGCGCGAGCGGAGCCGTGCCGCCGCTCCCGCCCGCCACGAGGCCGGCGCGGTGCTGCCCCCTTCCTGCCCTCGCGGCGGGGCCCCGCGGGAGCCGTTATGAAAGCGGAGCGCCGGGGCCGGCCGCGCGCCCCTCTCCCCGCCCGCCGTACCTCGGAGACCTCTTCTTCCTCCTCTTCCTCTTCATCCTCCTCCTCCTCCTCCTCCTCGCTGCCGTTGTTGCTGCTCTCGCTGCCGCCGCCGCCGCTCTCGCTGCTGCTGGCCGGCCGGCCGGCCCGCCCGCCGCGCTTCGCCTTGCCCGGCGCCTTCTTCTTCAGCAGCAGGTCGCACACCCGCACCAGCCCCCGCGGCGCCGCCGCCGCCGCCGCCGCCGCCCCGGCCGAGCACGACGGCGGCGAGGAGCCGGCCCCGCCGCTCGGCCCCTCCGGGGGACCGGGCCCCGCCGTGGCGCTCCCGGCGTCGCCGCCGCCGCCGCCTCCCTCCGCCGCCTTCTCCATGGCTGCCCACGGCCGATCCGCCCCGGTGAGGAAGGAGGAGGCACCCGGGGCCGCCGCCGCCTCGGTCACCTCTAGCGCCGGCGCCGCGCCACCTCTCGCGATACTTGTCGTCGCCGCCGGCCGCCCGCCCGCTCCCGGCGCCGCAACGTCCGCGTCCGCCCGCCCGCCCCCCCCTCGGCCGCCGCTTCAGCCTCGGCCGCCGCCGCCCGGCTCGCGCGGCCTCGCGCCGCGCCGCCCGCCCCCCCGCGCCCGCCCCGTCGCGGAACCCTCCTGGCCGCGACCCCTTCCGTGCGCGCCGCGCTCACCGCCCCGGCTCCGGAAGCGCTTCAAACGTCATCGGCGGCGCCGGCCGGCCGTTTCCGCCCTTTCGCCTCGGCTCGCGGCCGCGCTCGCCCCTCCCTCCCTGCCGCGCGGCGGCCTCGCTGCTCGGCCCGTCCGTTGGCTGCCGCCGTTGCTGCGCGAGGCGGCCGTCGGCGGGGCGGTCCCGCTCGCGTCCCCGTCGCCTTTTGCCCTCGGCCGTTTCCCCGCGCGTACTTCAAACGACAGGCGAGCTGCAGCGCGCGGTACGCGCGAGCCGGACGCCGTGCGTTCCGAGGCGGCCTCCTCAGTTCTGCTGTGCGGCGAAGCCCGCGGTGTCACCGACAAAACAGGCAGCGCCGCGGTGCCGCTGTTGCCGTGCGCTTGGGGCCGAATACCTTCGGCTGTGTCACCGCGCCCTGCTGCCAGGCCCCGGCCCGGCCCCGGCGTGCACGTGGGACGCGAATTCGAGCGCTCTGCTTCCTTTTTTCCTCTGGGAAACGTGGTAGCTTCCACTGCGTGCTGAGGGTTAATCCCAGAACTAACGAGGCTTCCGGCCCCCGAATGCGGGCCGCTGGTCCTTAAAAGAACGGGGATTTGCTACTCGGTGTTTTTTAAGACTTGCTGGAAATCAGCAAGGAAAGTGTTTTTTAACCACAGGAGCACGTGAGCGTATGGACCGACAATGGCTGGTAAGCCTGTGAAGTTTGGGGGTTGGTTCTATTTTCCTAACGCCCAGCCTGAACCTCCTCTGGCACAACTTACGGCCGCTCCCTTTTGTGCCCGCCCTGTCATCTGGGGGAAGAGGCCAACGCTTTACAGGGGCTTGTATTTCGTTTCCTTCATCAAAAGCGCTGTCTTTTGTCTTACTTGGATAAAGTTAGAAGGAGCCAGCTGTGTCTGCAGCACCTCTGAAACGAGCATTTGTTCTGCAGAATTCTCAAATAACTGACGTTTAGCACACCTGCAGAGCTTCCCCCAGGTCACATCCCACCAATATCTATGCTCTTAATAACAAGACTGCATTCATGCATTCAGCAGCACTATGAAGTTATGGCATTATCTGCAAGTCACCCTGCTCCAGTTGTCACTCCTAACCTCTAACTTTCAGGTGTGAGACTAAGAGTTAAAGTAGGTTTATAAATAGCCCTGTAGATGGCAGTTTGGGGGTGATCCAGGAGGAATAAGCAGAATGATGTAGCCACCTCACTCCTACCTCCTGCTGTGACTGTACAAAAATCACAAAAACAAAACAGCACATGATACACATTGGCAGATCTGTCAGAATAACGGTTCTGTCCTCTCGTGTGGAACCCGTGGATTTTTACTGTTGTATTGTGGAATACAGACACAAGTTAAGGATTCTGTTTTGTCGTAGTCACAACAGACAGAACTGTAGGCTAACACAAGTAAGCTCAGTCCTATCTCCTGAGGTTATTGTTGTACGTGTGAAAAACGCAGTGCTTATTTTTAAGAGACGTGACTGGGTCTTTATAGTTTGATCTAAAAAGCAACTTCTTTAACAGAAGATTTAACACAAGAAAAGCGCATCTTAAATCTCTTTGGCTGTCTGAGCACCTGGCAGATGGTCCAAGTGCACAAGATCTGAGCTGTTAGCAGGGAGCTGCCCCCTGTCTCTCAGCACTGCAGCGTGAGGTCAGGAAGTGGCACTGAGGGATCTGTCCTCTGCTGAGCTGGTCTCAGCCAAACAGGGCTGCAGCAGTGCTCAGTTTGGTTCTGCATTTTCATTCACGTATTACTTCAAAGTAATCATTTAAATTGGTAAGCTTGATGGCTCAAGCCTAGTTTCTTGCTAATGAAAGCAACCATGTAATTTTATCAGTCAGTGTTGTATTATCGAGCCCTGGATAAGGTTGAATAATTACAAAGCACTGCTCTTCCTGGCACAAACAGCATGGCCTATCTGAGGCTATTTGTTCAGTTTCTTTTATGATAGCGACCTCTGCTCTGATCAAAGAGTTGCTCCTTCTAATCTTGCAGAGTAGAACAAATTGTTTTCCTCCATTTTTATAACAGAGTTTCTACCTCCTCTCCCTGCTAGTTTGAGCCTTGTATGAGTGCAGCAGCAGTAAAAGCACTTGTAGCCTTTGGAGAAGCCTAGTGTTAGATTCATCATGCTGGTAACCTGTTGGTTTGTTGTTTTTTGTTTTTTTTTTTTTTGTCATGGGGAAAAGCTGCTCACAAAAGTCAGGCATGAATCATAGTGGATTAAACAAGAGAACATTTTGGGAAGGCATGAAATTTCAATCAGTTACATAATAGCATTTTATATTTCAGAACCCCGAAATAAAACATTCTTTTAGATACCATAATAATCATCAAGACTTGTTTATGAGGAAGGACAAAATAATTAAGGTATTTTTTCTTGTATCCCAGTTTCCATGTCAGTGCATAACCCAACTGTGTTTGCCATTCACTGGGCTCTGAGGCAATGGCTTACATCACGATAGATCTAACAGGATCTAATCAGGAAAGTAATGCCCAACCAACACCTTTTTCCTTTTGTGAGATTGTGAGTTTGAGTATCTTCAGACATTTGTTTTTGTTTTTAGCATAGAGCTGCAGAAAATCTTTGGAAAAATAATCATCCTTTGTTATCCCTTTCATCTGTGACCTCTACTTCAGTATTTATTCAAATCTCTTTCAGTTATTGGCCTCTATACCACATGTCAATAGTAGGAAAACCCAAGGTTTGCATTCCGTGGATGCTTTCAAGGACTGTCTTGTGTGGGGGAGATTCTGTAAAAAGTTCCATGGGACAACTCATGTGTTTAAACCTACTGTGTGGTGTAAGCATCTGCATGGAGGTGCTTTCGGTTTTGTTTATAACTACGGGAAGATGTACTACCGTTAAAATCAGGAAGCAGAGATACTGCTTTGCAACTATAACTGATGCAAGAACTGGACAAAGTTAGTACTGGTTTTAGAGTCTTGGTAACCCTGACGACACGTGCAAGTACATAATATGTGTAGCTTCAGTCTGTACATTTGGTTTTTGCCTCTACCTCCCCTTCTGCACTGATTTTAAGTACGCACCCTTTCCTTCCTGGTTCATACCTGGGTCTCCTAATTCAGCCCACCTACGCTCTGTGCCGTGCATTCCAGCACTGCTAAACACGCTCTGTACACACTCATCTCACACTTCTTATGTATTTTTTCAGCCCAGGGAAGTTTAAATGGTGATCAGAATGTCTGAAATGAAATCAGATGACGGGAAAGAAGGTGAAAGAAAGAGTCTCATTCTTAATGTACTCCAATTAAAAAATGAATATTGTCTTCAACTTTGATAGATTTTTTGATAATGCACTGAATTGACACTTCTGAGTTGCTGAAATGCTTTTCTTTCTGGCAGAGGTTAAATTTATTTTTTCTCTAGTCTTGTAAAGACTTTCCAAATGTTTAGCCCCCACTCAGAGCTACTGCAGCTGCCACAAAGCTACACTTTCCTCTTGTCTCTCTCCAGCCAGTTTCAGTAGCAGCTTTTCTATTCTTGTGAATACAACTGTTTTGGTTGATTTTCTGTAACTGCTAAAGGACAACAACCTTTTAAAGAAACTGAATGCAGTCAGCCTAACACCAACCCTCCTCCTCATTTTTATCACTTCATCTCAACTACCTCTAGTTTTAATATTTGTGAGAGTAGGAGGAACATGGGAGGAGTACATAAGTTATACATCTCCAGATGAGATGATTATTCAAATGAGATATTAAAAAAATCATGCCATTCTCATTAGTTATAGAATTGGTGAATTCGTATGATTGGATGTCTCGAATGCTCACAGCTTTAATGGGATGCAACTGTTGTATCTTCTGTGTGTGTTGCAGCATTTTTATTCATGCCTTTCTGGGACCTGCAAACCCCAAACTGCTGTATTCCTTCAATGTATGTACCAAAAAGACCAGGTTGCTGTACCTCCTTGGTGCACAGCATTGTCTCAAAAAAGAAAAAAAAAAAAAAAAAAAGATTAGACCATGCTTAATTATTTTTAACTTCAAAATTGAGTTTGTTCAGCAATGATGCAATTACTGCTATTCAAGTCAGAGGGAGAAAGGAAGAAGAAGATGACAGATGTCTCCAGATTGAGATAATTACTTTTTCTGTGATATATATTTTCAGATTGTTTAAAACTCAGCTTTAATAGTAGTATGTTATTCGTGGAAAAGAAAGGTTGTGAATTATTTTTATGCAGCCATAGCAATTACTTTTTTCAATATCTGTGTTTCTCCATTCCAGAACACATCCTGTGAGCATCTCAGCTGGTGTGACTTTGTGATAAAGAAAGTCTAGACAGATTCTGACTTGAACAAGTTCAGCGTTAGCATGGAAGAACTGCTGTGAGTCACAACAGCACTGTTCATCAAGGGTCTGCACCTCTCTACATGCAGAAGGCAAAGCACTAACATCAATACTAACACTCAAATGCACCCAATACAAAGGCCCATTCAGTAGTGACTTCTGCCTATGCTTGTCATGGTAAGCCAGATGATTTTGCCATTTGTTGTGCTTATCCACATCAGTGTCCATTCTAAGTATACACATATATATATATCCTGCTTTGGTGTCTTGAAAGTTTTTCATCTTCTATCTCAGATCCTGATACTACACATTCTGATTATTGCCATTAACACTTAGTGCAACATTATGCTAGTTTTGTCTCTTTCCACTTGTTTCTAATTGAGAAATTTAAAACAAGCCCAGAGAGCAAAACCTCCAGTAAATCAATCTTTTACTTAATGCTTGAACTTCACTGTTTTTCACACTGAGTTTTACAGACTCATCACCAATTCATACCCTGCTATGTACTGTCCCAGTACTACTAGTCTGTAACAATGTGTTAAACTTTAAAGGGTTGATCAGGTAGTAATTGATCTGAAGTATTAAGCAAGGACATTAATTATGTAATATATTTAGTAATTTCTGAGTCTTTATCTTATTTAAGAAATTGCTTAACCTGTTGGGACCCCAAAATTTATTAGTAGCTTGTGAAACTTAATGTTTGTTAAAAAGATAAATCATTTTTGAAAGTAGATTTCAAGTTTCTGATTTGCTTCACACATTTTCAAATGTGAGTATACACTTTGTGAGTATAAAATGCAAAAATCCCATGGCAAATTTGGGCAAATTTTATCTGATGAGCTTTTGGATTCCCTTCGAGTGCTTTAAAAAATAAAAACCAACAGGTTGGGCTACTAGCGCTTAACCTAGAAGCCTAACCTCTATGTGGTCAGTGCAGAGAAAGGCTTTTATGAGGGGGAATGTTTAGGTAGATCAACTTCTAATATGCTTTTCTGTATTAAACATATGATATAGAGTGGTATAAATTTCCCCAAATATTTGAATTGAAAAGGGTTCTGAACTGAAGCGATAGAACATGAGATCTACCCACAGTATAAATATAACCCTACTATCTATGTTCCTCTTAGCCACCAGAACACCTTTTCTGCATCATAACTCGTTTATAGCTTCTTTCCTTTGTTCTTTTTCTGAACTAGTCCTTGTTTTTTGTTTTTTGTTTTTTTTTTTTTCTAGTGATTGAAATCTAACAGGAATTCTCCTAATGCTAGCATGTGCCTTAGTTGTTGGGGCAAAAGAGAGAGTTGTGTATAGATGAATGTTCAAATCAATTTGGGAGCTTTTTTACAGTCACCAAAAACTGCCAAATAATAGCATGCTGTTTTTTTCACAAGCAGTAACTGAACAGACAGAATATTTACTAGGATTGCACGAGTAGGTCATTGCCATTCAGTGGCTCTCAGTGAGAGCTTTCAAGCCAAAGCCAGCTGTAGTGAACAAGTAATGTGATTTCTTTTTTATTATTACAGTCATTTTAGGTAATGCAGCATATGGACTACACAAGAATTAGCAAGGAGGTTAAATATTTCTTCTTATATTTTGTGTTTTACTTTGAGTCTTGCCAGTCCTTAATGATAATTTCTACAGTAACCACTTTTTAAGTAAACAATTGATTAGTTCTGAAATTAGTCCTTGAAATGGCTTCTCTTTGTGCAGCTCAGGAAATCTTAATGGAAACAGCCTTCAGCTGGAATGCAGAACAACAAGGTTCAAGCTGTTACTTTTCTATCTTCATATAAAATATTTGTACTACTAGGCTAGCTTATCTCTGGGCAAGAAAGGAGGTAACAACCTCTGTGCCTGAGTTTCTGTGAAAGCTTTAGTAGATCTTTGTTTCAATGAAGGCAGTATAAGAAACCTCTTCGCTACCTCATAAAGTTACTTTAGATGGAATAAAAACTATTTTTTTTTCCTGCAGAGTTCTAGTGATAACCAGAAAAATAGTCTAAAAGCTCCTAGTTGTCCCAGAGAGTCCAGCTACCTAGGATATTGTGGAGCTTCCTTTCTCTTTTTCCAAAACAATTTTTTCCATACCTTGCTTTTTTTGCACTGTTGTCTCCTGCTATCTGCCATTTGGTATCTGTATCAGCTCATTTCCTTTCAACAATTTATTTCTGTAGAAAGAGATTTGGATACAGGTTTTAAAAAGATTGTTTTTTAAAAAAGAGGAAAAATCAAGCTTCTGACATTTTAGTTTGCCACAGTAGGTGGAGCTAGAAGATGGCTATTCATCTACACATGAAACTAGTTGGACTTGAGGGCTACTACTGACAAATTCTTACTGTTTCCACCAGCTGAGAAAAGAAGATTTATTTAAGCATTTCATTCTGTAGCATAAATATTTTAATTTTTTTTCTTTATCCGTCAGGGTATACAAAGCAGATGGTTTGTTTGTTTCATTTATTTCCAGCAGGTAATAAACAGAGATTGTGTGTGTGTGTGTGTGAGAGAAACACATTTACAATGCCATTACCTTTATTGCAAGCTAGTTACAAGAGTAAGTGTTACCTTGAATAGCTTTGTGTTCCTGAATTAGCATTCATTTTAATGAGGATTTCACGTTAAAGAGCTGCACCTTATTATTTCACGTTCATGGGAGGAAAAATACTAATGAGGTAAATTTTCATTCTGTTGCCTGTAATTCTATTGTTTTCTTACTCAGCTACATTAATTCAGTTATGTTGCTAACTGAGGACGTATCACTAGAAATGAAGGACTTGAAAATACTTGAAAAGGGGCTGCAGCAAATTATGATAGACATTCACCTATTGATGTCACAAGCAGACTTGTGTGCTGAAAGGTAGGTCTGGATTGTTAATTCTCAGTCATTCATTTGTATACACAAACTCAGCCTCAAGAATCTGGTTTGTTTTCTCAGTTGTGTGATTTTCAACTATGCACAAGATATTATTTTTTAGTAAATAACATTGCATTCCAGAAGTGTGTTTGAACACAAATTCGTAAACTTAACTTCAAACATTGCTACAGTCTACCTACATTTAGCAAAGCTCCTAAATTGCATTTAAGTTCAGTAAGATTTGAAACATCTGCTTCAGCCTCTTTGCGTTCAGCAAATCACTTCTACGCATCCCAGTTCCAAATCCTGCACACCGCTTTGATGGCAGGTGATTTTTACTAGCTGGAAAAATCCATTCATAATTTTTAAAGAGCTGCACCTTATCAGTGTTACCTACTATCTTAAAGAGCTTTTCACATTCTTTATTTAAAGTGCCTTTCTTTAATTTAAAAAGATCTGTGTAAGATCAATGAAAAATTTTTCTGATAGAACTACTTTCAAAAGTGTTACACAAATACTTTCCAGCAAGAACACCAAATAAATGGCACATTCTTATTAATCAGCAAGTCGAGTTTACTACTGTTAAAGCAGCAATCACTGGTCTCTTTGTTAAACTACTCATATAGCAATTCTCTAAAATTGTCAGGGCAGATATTATGTGCGTGGGGTATTATTTTTTTTTAAAGTTGTTTTGACATCTTCAAGTTCAGAGAACTCTAAGCACAAGAAAGAAGCCTGAGCCCAAAATTGCAACTCTTTAAAAAGAAAATTTCTCCTCATGGCTGGAAGAAAGACACTTTGAGAAATCAAATTCAGAGATAGACCATAACTTCATAGCTGAATCCTTGGCCTTTTCCCTGTCCTGACACAGCAGTTTACACTGCAGATTTTGTACCCCAAATTAATATCTGAACTTGTGACTATTACGATTTAATATTCAGTAGCATTACTCTTAGTAAAGATAAGGTCATCGCAAATTTGCATAAGAAGAACGTGCTTGCAGCTACAAGCGTAAAAGTCAGCATGCTGAGTAATTGTCCAAAAATACCAGCTTTTGTGGTTTTCTTTTTGTTTGTTTGGTGTGGTTTTTTTTCAGAAAGCTTGCCTTAATAGTACAGTCTTGCATTGAAATCTCTTATTTCATCATTTGAGAGTGGTACCTCGTATTTTTGTGCTTCACCTCTGGAAGGATTTTTCTCAGAGCTGCACATATGTAGGTCTGTAAAAACTTACTTTAAGTGCTTGGGTTTGCAAAAATGAAAAGCTTTAAACTGTCAAGAAAATTAAAATTTTTCATTTACAAGTGTGAGGAGAGGCAAGAAAATTTGGATAAGTACTTCATATATGCTGAACTTAAATGTCTCAAAATAGTTATCTCCACAGAGAGGGAAGATAAATAAGAAGTAGGAATGCTTTCAGGAGCTTTACCTGCTTTTCATGTCAATTCACAGAAGGAATTAATTTAAGTTTCTTTATATTGCAGCTACTTCTCAGAAGATGTTGTATTGGAAAAGGCTTCCATAAACCTTCCCAAGTGTCCCTCTCAGATCATTAATATGGTATGAAATCACCTCAGTGAAATGTGTACGATCTCAGAAATTATGAACACATCACTGAGGAGGTCCAAATCATCAATTCAAAGAACTCATTATTTGCTGAACAAACCAAGGATGTTATTTGCTTAGTTTTATACCAATAAGCACTTGTCAGACTGTTTTTTGAGAGGTATTCATGCATCTCAGTTGCTCTGATGACTGGTCAGCTGCAGTCTCCTCAACTTCCAAGCTCTGCACTGCATCTCTATTTCAGAATTAGTTTTGGGGTGGAAAAAGACAACTCCGTAACAAACTCCTTTCTAGGATAGCTTTCAATCACAGCAGTAACAGCACTTACAGTTTGATCTCATACACCCTGGCTTTGCTGGAGAAGCTCCTGGCATGTTATGTGATGAGCTGGTTTCCAGAGAGCATTGCCCTAGCACCCTGGAAGTGAACAGGAGAGAAGATACGATGTTACAAAAACAATGCAGTTTAAGCAAATTAATTGAATATTTGATGTCTTTCTTTCTCTGAACTGCATTTATTACAGAACGAATTGACTCCCAGCCTTTTCCATGGGAGATGAGTGTAAGTGTAAGACAGAAAGCTGCCTGAAACTGCCTCCATTCCCAGCAGAAGGAATTAGTTCAAAAATATCAGAATTCTTTAAAAAAAAAAAAAAAAAAAAAAGGAGCAAAAC